CAGAAAACTCGACACAGTTAATGCAGGGCTTATCACAGGTGTACACTGCATTTCAGCCATTCTAAATAATATTTCGATGTTGGTATTTCTAATTAGTACTTCTAATTTATAATCATAACTTCTAAAGTGTTTCTGATTTCTAATCTTAACTCATTTATTAAAAGGTTTTTTATTAATTTTTCCATCCGTTTCTGACCCAAGAACCAACGCAGTTTTTGGGAACTGAAGATCTGTCACGTTATTGTATTTCATTTAGTTGTTTAGTGAGCACAAAAATATAATACCAAAGTGCATTTAAAAACTACATTACTTGAAGTTAACTTCTGAAGTGCACTATCATCCACTGCTACATTGCGTATTTTTTGCAAGGACTGATTCGTAGTTTATCGCTCAATCTATGCCATATTCCAATTTTCTTGTAATATTTTTAAGTTTTTGTTTTCTTCTTAGCTGTTAATATTTGCGGTCGTTTCATATGGAATCATAAAGTATGCGCTCTTTTAATTTTGGACTAATTTGTTGGCTTCATGACTGGCATGTTCCGTGTAGTGAATTGCTTCGTTGTTTTAGCTTTGTACTTTGTCAGGTCCCTCATATCTGGAACTTGAGAAAAATCACATTTTTTGAAATGAAGAATTTCAGATTGTTTTGGTATTGTTTCTGTTAGCGGAACTTCCGCAAGTCTGCTTTTCGTTTCCCAATTTTTTATTCTCAATTTAAACTTTTCCGACATTTATTTGCTGATCAAATGAGTGTCAGATTTGTGCTCAGCTAACTCTAAAATAATGTGAATATTAGGATTACAATGTGGATATTATTTTGATTTTCAACTGTTTGAAGGAACCCCACCTTTGATATTCTTTTCTATAAATCATTGTATTGTTATTTCTGTTCCGTATATTTGTTGCTAGGTTTGTCCTGTTTTAATGAATTTTTCAAATACCAATCGGTTGAAATAATGATTAGCGATATTCTGTATGTCGAAGACTGCCATTGGCAAAATGTTTCATTCATAACTAAACGAAAATCACTGATAAAGTAGTCAAGCAAATGCATGCATTTACTGTTTATTGCTTTACATTTATTACCGTTTATATGTTATATCATTTCAAAACATTGTATATAAATTTGTTATCATGTTGGTGATGCTTTCATCCTTGAAATTTAATAAATTTGTTGTCAATTCAGACTCTGCGATCAGTCAGCATTTGGCAACGTCTTTCCGACTTCCTTCAAATTTCTGGGGCGGTATATTCCTACAGTGACTTGTCAATGCACATAGCAGATCAGGTTTTTTTGGCTACAATTCTGTTTATGACGATTTATTGAATTGGGGATTCGTTTTCATCTTACATTTTAACGGGAGGGAAGGACTATCAGTGCTGTATTTTAAAGACAAAAGTCTCATCATAAAAGCTTGTTTTTGGCTCAGATAAGTGATTCCACACATTTTATTTGCAACTGCCGTTTCTATAGGCTGATAATTTCACAAATTCATTTCTCAATACTTTGGGATTGGAAGAATCAAAATGCAAAGCCCATGAATTTGCCGTTTATGGGCTTCCTGATTGATGGGTAGTATAAACTACGAAAATAATAACATCCCAGTAAGAGTGTAGGTGTAGAATAATAAGTAATAAACTTTAAAAGATGCTCCAAAATGAGGATGCTATGGCAACCAAAATCAGCTTAATAGCTCATTTCAGCTAAATGAATTATTACAAATGATTTGTCGTGCATGACATTCTCAGTTATTTGCGATTATTTGTTCTTAGTGTAATATTCCTTCCGCAAGGTAGTCTGTTTCATGTTAGTCTGTTCTGTCGAAGTATACATTGCTGGTTTCCGAAATGTCATCACTTCCTACACTTTCCAATACTAAATCGCTGAATACTGACAAAATTTTGAATGATAAAATTTGAAACAATGGAAATATTTCAGCATAACGGCCGGAAACAACCTTGCAGAATCTCGGCTCCACGTTTTCCAACAAATAATTCCTAATTTATTATTGTATTGTCTGCGAACGTTATGTCTTTTAGTACTCCCGATTAATGCCTCATCTGTAATCAATATTGGTCTAATTTATGCAAACACAACAATTCCAAAGGCACCCGAATTTTTGAAAGCTGGTCTATATGATGTAACTGGTACACAACCTTTCCATAATCATCGATTTAGGTGAATTTCCGTTCATCAATCTAGCAAAATAAAGCTATTTTAATAGATCATGTTGTTCATTTACGCTTCGACGATGGTTAGATTCATAATCAAAGAAAAATGAAACTAAAAGCCATAGGTACGAATGGAACGTAAGAATGAATCGCATTTTCAGTGGCACTGTTAACTATTAATTTGTGCATTATTTAGTTTGGTTCAACTAGCTGTTAAATAATATGCTAAGAAGAAGAAAAAGTTATGTCTTCGAAATCTGCTACACAATTTTAGTCACTATTCAATTTTACATCATTAATTCTATCTTTTACATTCCATAAAAATCTAAGTCTTTGCTGAAATATTCCTAAAATATATTTCCAGGTTACTACCAATAACATCGATGGGTTGTTTCAAGAATAAGTACAAAAGCAATGATGCTGCTATTATTGCAGAAATGTATTACAAAAATGATCTTCAAATGCTTTTTGGACCAGCTTGTGACAGTGGTGACTCGAATTTAGTTTTATATCATTCGATTTTATAATTTAGTTATCCACTAAATTGCATCATCATATGTCTCAGAGATTTCTATGCCATAATCGCTTTGTCTTCTTAATTTTTTACTAGTTGTTAATGATCTCCCAGAGTTTAGGCTACTGTGGCTTGAAGTAAAACTTTGGAAGGTCCTACATATTTGTGGGACAATAAATGCGTTAGCAAAAATGAGATTTTCTCATGTTTTATCATGTCTACCACCAATATATATATTGTTTAAATAGTAGTGAACATAAAGAGCTAATTCTTTTGCTCAAGTATTTTAAGACTGCTTCCATCTGGCTTCATCATTTCTACACAGTCCATTTTTGTTGCTTACTCTTTTATAAAGATTCAGTAAGTTTCGATGAATATTAAACCCTATAGGGGTTGATATTAGCTTTGTTTTTAGACTTAAATATTATTGGAAGGCTAACAAAAGAGTGGAATATTTTACAGTTCAGTTTTGGCAATGAACATTTCGACAATGATCACAGTTCCGTTGTGCAGGTTTCACATTTCATTAATTTACTATATCACTATGAGAACTCATTTTGAATAAAAGAAATAGTGACAAGCTTTCAGTCCCTCCACATATTATTCAAGCGTTTCTGAAATTTTTACCATTTAAGTGTCGCGTGAATTGCGTAAAAACTAGTTTTATGACACAGTTTCATGTAAACGTTTATTTCTCGTGTTCCATAACGTTCTTTTGCCATAGTTCTCTTTACAATCATTGAAAACTCAAAAAATGATGTACTTTACAGACATCAACTATTTCAACATTGAATGCCGCATTCAATTTGGTTGCATTTTTTAAAATAATGAGTTGGGATAAGGTAAGGCTATTTCGGTTATGTTCATCTGCTGCTGATCATTACACTCTATGAAATATCCACAGAATGATCTAATTTCTCTCATTTTTCCACCAACTTATATACTTCTACTAATATTTCGCTTTCTTTCAATAGTTTTTTCTATCATTCTTCACAACAATCGTTATCATTTTTACGACAGGTAGTATTAATTTGGTCAGTGATAGCATTTGATGACGAATATACCACCAAACTGAAAATTGCAAATATTCGGACGGTGTTCAAATTAAACGGTATTTCTCTACTAAACGATATTCATGTAAATACATCGGATACAACTCGATCACTAGTGGATGTTTTAATGGAAATCAAAAACACTTCCAGAAGTATATTTCAAATTTTACATTTTTCCATAGGTTCGCTAATACTAGTAAATCCATGGGTGTCTTGTACTATCAGAGTAGATAAATATTGTTCTAAATGTTTCTTGAAAGCTTTAAACTCCCAAATATTTCAGTTTGGATTCCTATATTTGGATATTATCTTCATGACTATATAGAATTTTTGGCAGCTGTAAAACAACTTAGCCTTGATCCAACTGTTTATGTTACTGTGCTTTTGGATTTCGTCGTTCTTGGAGAGTTCAAGCCACCATGGATACTTCCCAACAACAGCATAAATGAGACTATGAAGTTCTATTTCGATGAAACCATTATTGCACGTTTTTAAATGATTTATTTAAATGTTTCTCAATTTCATTTAGTATCTCTTTGACAATTCTACATTCATACAGCTCCCAATGTCAAATTCTAATTCGTACTGTCACATAAGGTCAAATATAATTTGGTTTATGACCGGATCTAACCAAACTTTTTGGTTTCTTGCAAAGAAACTTGCCTAAACTATTTTATAGCTTGTCAACAATTATTATTCATCACGCAATTTATCAATTATAAGGCGCAACATTCCAGCTGATGCTAATGATGTAAATTTTTCTTGAAAAATTTTGTCATACTTTTGAGTAATTTTGCAAAAGTACATTTCAAAAAATGGACAAAGGAGTTTAAAGATGAAGATTGTGAAAATGAAAAAGTTTTTGTTTATATTAAATTTCCCAAAGTTGTCAGATGATAAGAAAACTTTATTTGTGTCATTTCTTTTTTCTGAAATCTCTCAGCACAAACATACTAATAGGTTGAAGTATTGGTCTTTTCTTATCACACTTGAAAACTTTTGTACTTCAGCTAACAATTATATTATACACTCAGCTCTATGAATCAGGATGGTTATATTCCACAATCCTTCGGAATACTTTGCAAACATCGCAAAATTTCAGTCAATTTAAAGGATTAGAATCAATAATTGACACCGTTAAAAACAGTCATTTCTTGGGTTTGTGATAATTTGAATACAGATCTTATAAAGCATAAAAATATATGCTACACATGCGGTTTTGTTTGAATATTTTCAAAAGCATACAAAACCAAAATCTCAATGTTTGGTACGATTGCTTTCGAGAAGTTAAAAACGAACGTTGCAGGACCATTTGGCACAATATGGTTAAACCAATATACAGTTCGGCTGACTCCATTTCAAGTTAAATATGTTGAGGTATTTCAAGAAGAACCAGTTGGCATCGCCGATTTATTTCTGACACAGGAATGTGGCCAGGACAAGACTAGAAAAAAAGGAGCTAATGGACGCTGTATTACCTTGGTGAATTGTGTTTCATGGAAATTTCAGAATGTTTTAAGAGTCTTGATTTTAAGACTTCAATCTTTTGCCACTCAAAATAAAAAGAGTATTTTTAAAAATTGAAAAGCAGGCTAAGAAATTTACATTTTCTGGCAATTTGTTAAAAATTTCACTAGTCTTTGCATACAGATAAGATTGCCCTTTTTTAAAGGCAATAATTCGAAACGCCTATCGGAGGAAGTGGAACTTAATAATCACTGCGTATGAAATGACAGTTAATTATGTTTGTACTTCTCAGTAAGTCTGAAGCAAAGTAACTTGTACCATATGTGAGACAAACGAATAGGCTCTATTGTTGGCGTACTTCTATAGAGTTAAAGTCAAAAGACAAAAGACGTTTGAAACCGACTACTAAAAATTTTAATTCCACTTCCTTTTGAGAATTTTCAGACTGGTAAAATAACCAATTATAATACAACTATAACAAAGCATTTTCCAGTGGATATGCCTCTATGCGGTTTTGAAGGAGAGATGTGCGATTATACGGGGTAATATTAGTTGCAGTATTCTGATTAATAGATGACGTTTATAAAAATTAGACAAGAGAAATGCTAACTGCAAAATAGTATCATGAAAGCGATTAACCAGTAACCACAATACCAACACTGATTTCATGCAATCACCTTTCAGATCTATGTTGAAAATCTCTCTAATGATAACAGCATTTTTTTTGATATCTTGCGCCTTTTTCGTTTATCGGAAATCGTGAGTTTAGTTCTTTTTAAGTCTCATTTAAATTTTTAGTTCTTTATCAAGATTTTTAGTGTCTACTAAGTATAACTATAATTATTTAAGAATATATTAAATTATGATTAAGTGTTTGAAATATATTTGAATGTATTCACAGAAAAAGTGGTGAAACATCACAAATGCCATGGGCGATCCCTTATCAGCTCCTCAAATTTGTTAATATCGAGGCATCTTCGGTAATTATTATTGTTGTCATGAAATAACAGTTTCTCATCTTCTCCGACCTGACATCTTAAACTCTTAAACTTTTTAAATACCTGGAGAAAAGGGGATCATATTAGAAATTCCTTTTAACAAGTAATTGTATCTTAAGAAACTGTATTTCACAAGTTTAAGATGATGTCCGTGCAAAGTCTACAGCAGCAAATGGAGTCAAAGATAAAATTGAAAGATTTGTTGCGTTCACGAGAGTTTGCAATGACCGAATTTGGAGCAGTGATTGTAGAGCCGTATGCACTCAAAGCGGGGCTTTTTTTCGATAATTCCGATGTAGCACTTCTTCATCAGGTAATATAAATGAGCAATTGATAGAGCCATATGTTCAATATATCTCTTAGAGCAAATAGAGTATGTTTGTGCAAATCTAAATTTGCCAATAGCATTGTTACATTTATTAGTCTTGGGATGAGATAGCATTAATAGAACAAAATCAATGGTTTCCATTCTTAACAAGTAAAATACATTTGCAAACATCGTTGATTATAGATGAAACAACTGGTACATGATAATATCAATCAATTTGTTGGGATATGCTTAGACAAACGGACTGAATTTTATGCAATTTGGAATCACTGTTTTCGTGGGACATTAGCTGACTTGATGTTTTTTAATGCTACTACTAGTGCAAAAAATAAGTTAAGCAGTGATAACGAGATTGGTCCAGCATTTCAAGAAAATTTTAAGCGAGCATTTGTTCGTGATATTATTCGGGTCTGTTTTCTTTGCGATATTTTAGACCTAATAAATATTTTAGTTCCAAATCACAATGTTCCAACATTTTCGCACAATTTTCGAATATTATCATGAAGTTTATAAAGAATTTTTGAATATTTGGTGAAGTCCGGTCTTTGAACGATCTTTCCTAAATCAATTTTTTTTTAATGGAAAAAATTTTGTACAGTATATAAAGTATTCACAGCGTATCGGATGTATATAATATATTATCCCATATTGATTTTTAGGGTCTGGAATTTTTGCATTCCTCGACAATTGGTTATCATGGTTCACTAACTCCGTCACAATGCCTCATCGACAGTCGCTGGATCCTGAAACTCTCTGGATTTGGTCTGTCGAAATTACTGTATAAATGGAGAATAAAGGGCTCTATAAGTGCTAAAAACGGAATGTGGTTAATTTCAAATTCAGGTCTGTCAAAATAGTCGGAATTTTGAAATTGAAGTTTGTTGTAGATTGAAATTTTATCATAGATTTTTATATACTTGCAACAAAATAAATTAGATTTTACCATTTCGTCAGCAATTCATATTTGTTCCAAATATGCAAAAAGTTTTAATTTTCTGTAAAATTCTTTGTAATTTTTGTTAAAATCATAAATTTAGATTCATATTATTATTCATTGAAAGATATAAAAAAAGTGCAGGAAGTAAAAACCTTTTTATGCACCTTAGAAAGGACAAAATTGCTGTAATTCAAGTCTTAAATTTCACTTCCATAATTGATTATTAAAATAAATGGCATCTTTTGGAACAGCTTTCACTAAAATCACAAATTCAGATTTACACTATTATTCGCCAGAAATGCGTCGCTTCCTCAAAAATATGAGTAAGGGTTCGATAACATTCAACGCTAAGCAAGCACGGGCTGCTGATATATATGCATTTGGAATTATATTGTATGAAATTGTCTTTCACAGGAAGTTGATCATACTCGATGATAATCATTATGGTAAATGCTTATGATTGTCCAAATGTCATATATTTGTTTAATTTTTAAGATGAGATTATAGTAACTATAGGTATAAAGTGTGGAACACAATAAAGGCTTGAGAAAAGTGGGATAGAATTGCTTATGAATGAACGAATTTAATTTGCAAATTTCAGATATCGAAACAGTGAATGAAGATACTTTAAGCATTTTTTGTGAGTCAGTTGAAGCGCTTATTCCGCCTTATCCATCTATCCCGGGAAACATTGAAGTACATCCGGACCTGCTTGGGCTAATGCACAAATGCTGGTCTGGAATTATTGATCAGCGTCCTGAAGCCACACTAGCACGCAAAATTACTGATGCTACATTAAAAATGTAAAATAAATTTTTCCAAGACATTAACTGGCAGAAGTACTACGGATGCGGTGAAGTTATTAGATGCTTATTATTCGAAAAAAGCAAAGCGATTATTATCTCTGCGATAATCTAACAAACCATTTCTATCAAAATTTCAGATCGGGCAGTTTAGTCGATCAGATGATCAAAAATCTCGAGCAGGTATAATTTCTCTTCAATGAAACTTTTTTTAACAGTTGCTTTAAATAACGTTTAATTTATGGGAATATCAGAGATATGATTTGATTTTGATTTCTGACTTTTTGAACTATACTATCAGAGCAGTGAATTCAATCAACAATAACATCTGAATGTATATTACGACATCAAGATAGCTTGACCTTCAGTGCATGACCAATAATGTTATTAAGAAGGAAAGTTCTTTTCAAAATATGCAATGAAATTAGCAAATAGAAAGTAGAGAGTTTTCAAGAAATTTTATGCTACAGTATACGAACAATTTGGAGAAATTGGTGAAGGAACGGACGCAGCAATTAGAAGAAGCGCAAGAGCACGCGGAACGTTTGCTTCTTGAACTATTACCTAAGTGAGAATTTAGTTTAAAACCTATTCTCTCAACAGAGATGAAGAGCTGTCAATAGGAACATTGCCTTGTGGATAGGAGTATATTTACTTATCCCTTAAATTCAACAGGAAAAATCATAAGATCATTTAGATCATTTCCACTCGTCCTTAGACATTTCTATACAAAGACGTTCAAGGCATATATAAAATAAGCCTAAAAAAAGATATAAAATCACTCAAATGCTAGTAAAGAGCAATTTGTAGTGCAGTTATTATTTTAGATCAGTGGCTGATGAGCTGAAAGTAAGTCGTCGGGTCGATCCGAAGAATTACAAGTCAGCAACAGTGATGTATTCAGATGTTGTCGGTTTCACATCGCTTTGCAGTGATAGTTTACCGATGGAAGTGGTGACACTGTTGAGCGGTGTTTTTCAAAAGTTTGATATAATTATATCGCAGCACCAATGCTATAAGGTATTCTTATTAATTAATGCTTTTCATGCAGGATCGATATAGATTCAAAAAGCAATTATTCACAAAAACCAAATCCCTTCTCTCTTAAGAAAATCAAAGTCAAAAATTTACTTTAAGTCATTAAATCTTAAACAATGCTTTCGTTTGCTTTCATGTAACTTTCCATTAGGTGGAAACAATTGGAGATGCATATATGGTGACATCTGGAGTACCAATTACTAGTCGACATAACCACGTTCGAGATATTGCTTCTGTTGCAATTATAATGAGAGATGTAAGTTCTGAAATTTTAAGTCTTTTTTGTGGAAATGAGAAGTTCAACAAGAAGTAAATTCACAGAGATGATGAAGGGATATTTTGAATAAACAAAGGCATATCGTATTCGGTATTTGATTGTTGTGAGATATTATTCCTTTTAAGAAATTTTTTTTTGATTTTTGGGACAGTTATTATTTCAGCACTGATTTTAGAGAAAGATTCAACATTAAAGCAAAAAATAAAATTTCCAGTTCCTATCCGAATATGAAATACCGCATAGACCAGGACAAAAGCTGCATTGTCGTTGGGGTTTCAACACAGGGCCTGTGTTCGCTGGAGTTGTTGGTTTAAATGCACCGAGATACTGTGTTTTTGGCCAGACGGTTTAATTTTTTGACTTTATATTCAAAAAATGTGAAGGTGAAACGAAAAAGCTTTGACAGGCAGAGAGTTTAATCATCGACTACTGAAGAAAAATTTTTGCTTAGTAGTATTAATTAGTAATAAAATCTTCAAACTTACTGGAACGAAATACTTACTATTTACTTATTTATATGAATTCGAATAACTATTTGCGTAACTATTTACTTATAATACTCCATAATCTACAGGGAATTTTTTCATCCGTCTTCGAAGTAATTAACTTTGCGTCTGCTCTTTCGTTTACGCACCTCGGCTTTTCTTCTTTGTGTCATATACAACCTCCAGCGTAAGGGAAAAGTATAATACATTTGGAACAAATTTCATTGTATCTGAAGCCATTTTAGGTGACATTGGCAGCAAAAATGGAAAATAGTGGTTTGCCGGATAAAATCCAAATCAGTTTGAAAAGTTATCAACTTCTGACAGCTCGATATCCGGAATTTAAATGCTCACCGCGAGGAGGAGTTCGAATTGATGTCTGTTTTAGGCCTTTTTTAAATCGCAAATGATTCATCCCGTCCTGAAGGAGTCACTAATTATCATTGTGTTGCTTTCTTTTTTTATGTAAGCAATTCTATTTCGAACACGTGCTTTCTCATGAACTTGAAAAGTCTAAAACTGGTGTTGTTCTCAGTTCATATTCAAATATTCTCCAGACATTCATTTGATATAAGGACAGCGGATAGGGGGATTATATCAGTGATAGTGAAATTTCCGAATCTTTGTTTCTGGTTGTTCGGTGGAGGTTAACTCTTCAAGACAGCTGAGACTCGAACCGGAAGATAGTGAAAGAAGAACATATAAGCGGTCCTATTATACGTTAAGCCGTGGTGAAATGCACAAAATTATGAATTGTTGCAGGGAATCGGCACATTGCTCACTTATTGGTTGGACGATTGTGAAGAACTGCTGGCATCGAGTCGCTCAGTGATTGGAAGTGACCGTTAGACTGGACGAGATCCATTTTTCTAATTTACACATCATCTTCTGTGTTTTTGTGGCTCAGATGCGAAATCTAATGAAAGGGAAGGAATCAGTTTTCCCGACTAAAAACGTGAATAGAGAGAGAGGGATGGAATAAGGGGATGAAGATAATTGAGTGTGAAGCTTCGGATGGTGCTTTATGAGATACCTAATGTTTGATCAATTAATAAATCAATCAGTGCTCATCTTCACACATGTTTTTCATACAACACGCGATTTTTATTCCTCTACAAGTGAAGTATGATTTCAAATGTGTACACGTGACACGTGTTCATTATCGAAAGGATCTATCAATGGTTTATTCATACCTCTCTCTGCTAAAATTAAGTGTTTCGTTGTGCTCATGAGAAGTGAGTGCACATGAACTAAGTGGATGAACGCAAGGTATTGCTTATCTATCCCTGTCCCTATAGTTGCTACGACCGTGAAGTTTAGTCATCTTGCTCTGCTCAACTTGGAACTTTGATGAATCTTCAACTTGCTCTCAGCCGTTTGTATGGAAATGAATTGTTATAAGCAATGTTATTAAAATCTCATCTTTTCCCTTTCACAACTTCCTTCTTTTTCTTCCTGTTTTTCCTTGTTCCCATTCCTCTTTTCTCTCAAAGCACAAATTATTGATAGTTTGAAAACAGAAATAGAAGTTATGCTAAAGATCAAGGTACAAAAGATTTCTAAACATTTTACGAGTTCTTTACGCATCAAACACTTTTTGGTATTATCAAAGGAGCCCTTTTGTGATAGGAGCAACATTTTTCCCATGTACTTCCCACATTAACAGAATTTACTGATTCTCCAAATGTATCCCTTGTATCACTGGTTTCTTTTTGCTTATTTTTTAAACATAAAATTACAATTTGTAGCTCTCCAAGCTGCAAACAGAAGTGATATTAAAATAAATAATTTTTGTTGTTCAAACTTCGGCTTAGTAAGTGAATTTAATTTTTTAAAAAATACTTTTTTCCAATTGAAGATTCTCAATTTTAGCTTCATTTACTCATGTTTTTTTTTGCTAATACTTTTGTAATTTTGGAGCTAAGCTTCTTCACATTGTAATATATGTTTGAAGTATTCTTATTTCCTATATCTTCAACTGATTCTTTTCAAGAATGTGCTTTTTTATAGTTCTATCAAAATTACTATAATTCTAGGTTAGCTAATATTCAATCTTTTTTTCACAAATTCCTTTTTTTATGGTTGAGAATGTTTTTAATTTTGATTTTTGTGATAGTGTTTTTTTTTTTTTGTTAGATAAGAAAATTAATGCTAGATTAAAAGGCTACGGTAGCTCTGTCAAAAATTCAGCCAAACAGAAGAGATCGAATTTCTTTCCAGCTGATGTTGATAATGCTATTTATTGATGTAATTTGCTCAAAATTGGAGAAAAGATGATGGAAGGTGTCGAGCTTCGGTTAATCTTTAGGGACTGCAATGATAAATTTGTCAAGCATTGTTTTTAGAAGACCCTAGATTTTTCCTTCATTTATTATCGACAGCAACAAGTTCAAACCTCCTTTCTGAACTCGACGATTTGAACCTTAAGATGGGATATAGAAAAATCATGTAACTTGAGATTCTCCTCTGAAATGAAGTCTTCAACACGAAGATGTTTTTAAAATATTTTAAAGGTTGAATAGTCGTTCTTGTTTAACTGTTAAGCTAAAACATCTTTAAATTTCCTAACTTTCTTTGAAATATTATTTTATGCGGAAGTTTGCTCATACCATCACATTTAAAGATTTTTATAAAAGCTGAGACATAAGGGTACCACATCCTGAAATGTTATTCTCTTTAATAGCCTAATTATTGGAATAGGTGTATTATAGGTAAAAAGTCGTCAAGAATTCCAAAGTAATCACTACAGAGCAGAAAATAAAAGATCAGAAAACAAAACTATGTCTTTCTCATATGCAAAATATTTTATAAGCTACTTCCCTGGACTTCCTTTTGGGCAGCGCAATATATTCTATTAATTCTTTCTTGAAGGAAATCCATTCCTTTTTCTTATATGCCCTGAAAGGATTATATTGATTGGTAATAATATTTCATGATCCTTAAAAACATATGACGCTAATTGTCTAGCATTGTCAAGCACAATTTATTTGATTTGAAAATTCAAGAGTATTTTTTAAGCTGAAATAATCATTGATTGTTATGGCGACAACTATAATAATAATAAAGGCTTTGTTTCGGACTACAACATTGACGTCATTTTGGATGACAGCCAGGGTAAGGAAGCGCATTTGAAAGCTACAGGCCCTACTGGATGATGGGTATTTTGTTTATAAGTTTTCCGAAGTGCAGTAAGTCGTCGATCAGAGATTAGTGCCAGTGAAGTGGTGTGTCACACTATTCATATGTTCTCCAGTTTTGATCGTTATCATTTTCGTGGTTTTCTTCACCGCTGCATGTTTCCCTTTCTATTGTTTATTATTATTTATTTACTTGTTTATTTATTATTATTATTGTTGCTTGTTGTTGTTTTTGCTGGTGCCGCTTTATGATGCTGAATTCGTGCTGCTAATTAATGACCAATTAAAGCTGGCAATAAAGCTAATGATGACAATAATAGCTTACATGAATATATATATTTATTTAATTTCTTTGTACCAACTTTTTTTCTCTTTCAAAATGGAAGAAAGGAAAGGCTTTCTGTGGAAAACATTTTCATATTCTATGCTCACTTCATTTGTTTTTGTTGTTAATTTTATTGTAGTGCGTCATTGTGCTTAGTTTCAGTTTCACTTATTTCACTTTTTACCACAATTATTTGTTTTGAAGTGTGATTGGGTTAGGAGTTACTGTTGTTCCGAGAGAGAACGAAATTTAATAGCTTACCCTTCTAGTTAGATAGGCTTATGAATTAGATGATAGTTCTCTTGTGCCGCTTAAGTTCCCACTCTATTTCTACTCATTAATATCACGTAATTCAGTGGTTGCTGTTTTTCTGCATCGTATTGGCCATGAATGTTTACTATCACTATGATGATGATTCTGTTGATTCCGCTCATTCGAACGACGATGAGTCGTCACGGAAAAATTCCAACCGCCTCAATGAACTCCGTCATTTCGTCAAACGAAGAAAGAATTCCAGAAAAGTGAGTGAGCACTTTTTTCTGCTACTTTTTTTTTTTTTTTTATATATCTGTTTAAACAATGAAATAAAATGGAATCAAATATTTATGAACTCATCAGGTACCTCCATATCATCAGTTAGCCTATTCATTACCAAGTGAATCAATCAGCGGGCATAAAATTTCAACGGACAGTCAGTTCTTTGAAATGAAAGAATGGGATGAGGAAAACGATAGAACACCATCGAGACGTTTTAGTGTTCCAGAAAAGGTACATAACATCTGGTAGATTTTTCTATTTAAATTTATTCGATTTAGAAAATAATTTCTGTCTCGTCCACTGTTTGTTCATTTATTGTTAGTCAAGCAATTTATATTTTTATCAGTGTTGTTTTATATTTAAGATATTTAGTGAATTGTAATGCATTTAATAAATGTATTACCTGAGAGTGTCCTATTCGTGGGATTGGAATTCAGAGAATACTGTGTGAATGAGTTTTAATTTGAGTTCCACTGAACTTCTGTTAGTTACAGATGATATTTCTAGATTTTTAGTTAAGGAAAAAAAGTTAGTATAAGGAAGAATCCAAGTTTCAGAGCAATCGGGACGTTTTAGTATTCCAGAAAAGGTACACAACATGTGATAGATTTTTAACGAATTTTAAATTTGGCTTTTTGATCGCTATTTAGATCTTATAAAAAGGATTCAGTGCTGTCAACCTATTACATTTGGTCAGCGGATGAAAAAAATCGAAATGTATTTGTGGGTAAGTTTGGTGCCAGCACTAAGCAGAAATTGTTAGAATATCGAGAGCTGTTTCTCTCGATACTTGATTAGAGCCATTCATTTTAATTCCTTTTTCGAACTTTATCCCGAATAAGGATAAAAAGGCCAAGTCTTAACTGCATTTATTAAGGACAAGACGACGAGCACAGCATTATGAGAATGCCTCTTTATTCAATTCACGATAAAAGGAATACAGAATTAAACTTTCTCTTTTTCTGCTTAAAACTCGAAGAGTCCGACAGTTGGAAGATTGCAAAGATTCCGAAAGAAAAATTCTGTCTGACTTGATGAAAGGGTTTCAAGAATAGAGCGTGAATCCCCCACTTTTTTTCTTTCATGAAACCAACTTGATTTTCCTAATTTTCACTGCATCTTAATATTTTCTAAAAGATGACTATTGATATGAATTGATCTAAACATTTCGCATATTTTCATTGTTTACTTGATAAATTTAAAGTTTGCTTCTAGCTATATTCGAAAAACTTGTCCAAATTTAAGGAAAAGCATTATTTAGGATTATGTGATACTACGCCAATCTCGGGAACGTCAGCTGGAGGTTGTTGCTGCATTTGGTGTGTCCTTACTCTGTGCAAAATAAAAAACTGTATAACTCAGAAAATCAAAAGATAATGTTCGTTTTCTAGAACAAAACTTTTAGGAGAATAAATACTACGAGGGTGTTCAGATCGAGAAATGAGAAAAAGATACCAGTGCAATAGTCTTTACTTCGATAATAAATGGCTGTCAACATTCGAGTTCTATGATTTCCCACTTTTTCGACCCTTAGTCTTCCCAACAATTCAGAAAGGAAAAAAATATAATAAACATCAAAATTTATATGATTCAATTTCCATATGCATTTTGCAGATAGGTACACGGATCCTTATAAACAGTACATGCAGTCTTTGTTATGTTACGATTTAGCACCAATCCATGGATCAACATTATTAATTGACGGTAATCTTCCAGTAAGTTTTACTTCTAAAGTTAAAACACTCGACTTTTATGAATGATTATCAAAATTGTGATTCGCTTACAATTTCTCTCGAACATTCTCCAAAATTTCATATAATCGATCCATTTACAGATGCGTAAAGCGCTGCTGGCTCTTTATCAATCAAGACACGAAGCGGCCGTGATAATCAATTCAGTTGCACATAAACCGGTAGGTATGATAACCGTTACCGATTGTCTTCGTGCGCTTGCCTTTACTCTCAATATCGATTCTGATATAGGTGGTCGTCCAGTTCGCGATTTCATCGAAGCATACGGCAATAAGAAACTTATCACTGCAACCGTCAATATGTCGTTAGTGATCTTATTTGCTTCAAATTCCTGTCATCGCTTTGATATTGCAACTGATAAGTGAACTGTTTTTCAACCCTTTTCTAATCATTGCGGATGTTTCATCTTGATTGTATTTCACGCATTGCTTTTACATTGCAGCGTTTGGGATGTAGCTAGGTTGTTTTGCCTTAATCATGTTCATCGCATACCTATATTTCAAAGTGATGAAAGCGATCTATTCACTGATATTCTCTATATGCTATCTTTGCGACGAATTTTCTGTGAAACTGTTATCAAATTGGTAAATGAATTTTTGCTTTCTTGGAAAACTCTTCACCATTGAAGGAAATCCTTCTGACGAGTGAAAAAAGAACGACAATAAATTCGATTTCATAACTTATCACGAGAAGTTATATCGACATCTCTAGGTATCTGATGTGCTCAGAGTTAATTGAGATGTTATTGTCCGGTTTCCTTCGCTTTTGCTTATCTTTAAAACTTACCCAACTTATATATCAAAAATATTTCAGGTAGAGCCAAGTTTTTCATTGGCTCCTCATATAAAGCACCGAACATTACTCGATTCCGGTATTGGTACGTGGAAGGATGTTGTTACGGTTAGTCTTTACTTAAATGTATATTACTGTAATTGTCTTGAAGTGAGTAGATTAAAATTTATGGAAAACGAATTCAAAAATTTCAATTGTTGATCTGTTTTCTCGCATAACACAAGAAAAATGTTTGATTTTTTAAGAAGAATGTTGAATTTGTAGTTTCTAAGAAACAAGAGAATGCTCTAAAGTTGAAAATTGTTTCAATTTATGTTTTTGCTAAAATTTTCGTCTCGGTTTTTTTTTTCTGGAATAAGAAAGACTTAAATAGAAATAAATTAGTAATGAAAATTATGATTTCTGTTTTGTTAAATTTATTCTATCCTAATGAAAATTGCAGATTACAAGTAATGCACGCTGTGGTGAAGTAATTGATAAACTTATGACAAGGAAATTATCATGCATTGCTGTCGTTGATGAGCACAATATCGTACTCGGGAAAATCAACAAAAATGATATCATGCGTGAACTTGTAGAGCACTCCAATAATTATCTGGAAATTGTCAATTTGCCTGTCCAGGTTATTTATAATTTATTCAAGCATTTGGCCCGATAAATTAAAATTCAAAATTTCAACTTTTAAGCTTGTAACAGAAGAAGTCTTCTGTTAGAGGGCAATGACAAATTTTTTTAGACTTCGAGAAAGAAAGTTGAGGTGCAAACGTATATATCTGTGGTTTGACGCGTGCATGGTGTAAGCTAAGGTTAAACTATTGTAGCTTAATATATCGCACATTTAATTTGTTGAAATAGTTTGTGGTGATTTCTAGAATGTTTATCGCGTTCCACCGTTTGGTCGTCCAACTCACACTATTTACGAAGGAATCGCTTTGTTGTTATCCTCTGATGACCAATGTTTGTTTATTGTTGACTGCAATCAACGCGTTATGGCTGCTGTTGCCTTTGCCGATATTATGAACTATATTTTGAATTCGAGCGACATTCATCAAGAAATCAATGCTGACTAAATAAAAGCCTTATAGATTCTTAAATATCATACCATTTATAGAATGTACTAAGTCATGCTCCTCACTTTACCCAACTCGTTTCATGACCATTATAGCTCAGGTTGAACGGAGAAATTAATGATTTGCAACGCCAATTCATCTTTTCTGCTTATTTGTTCACCAAATAATTCTTTTCAATTGTTGTCTAAAAATTCTAAACAGAAATTGCTATTTGTTAAAGGATCATTTGTTGCCTTTCCCCACAAGATTTTCTTCCAGAATTGTACAGTTTCTCATTTTCTTAAGCGTTCAGTACAATTATTACTTGATACTAGCTGCTCAGCTAAGGTGGGAATATAAGGCGAAGTCAAATATGTCAGAGAGATGTAGAATTTACCAATCCAAAGACACTTTATTTTTTTACAAAGCGGTGCTTCTCGCTAATTTCACTTTTATTACGTTAATTGATTCGATTTTGACTGCATCGATATAGCTATACGGGTTTCTTGTTGAAATAATAAGTTATATTAGTCCCCGAAGTTATTCAGTTAACTCTTTGGCAATTCTTTTAAATCACTTGTTTCTTTCTAAAAGTGCTTCTGTTCATTCTTTTCAATGTTTCAACGTTTTTGTAAATCTCTTTTAATTTACTTATTTCGAAATCATTTTCGAAAATTACTTTCTCAATACGTGTATTCCGCTAGTAAAGACTGACATGAAATCGTGGACTAAACATATCCTATTCTGAACTATTCTGAAAGTCGGGATTCAGTCTGAATACAACTTTCTTGTGCTCAAAGATCTTCCTTGTTTGTTATTGTAATTGGTGTGGATGAATGCATTGAATGGTAGTCTGTTGTAACGATTTTATTTCCTAACAACCACAACATATAGGTATTAATTTAAAGCAACAATACTGATAATTTCGTAAAGTATCTATGAATTTGATGAAGAAAATGTATAAATGAACAAATTGATGGGGAAATGAACTGAATAGTGAGTGACGGAGAGCAGTCGAATTGTAGCTTACTGGTAAGGTAATAAAACTGACTGAGACAAAGGATTTAAATTCTTATATAGTGGGCACTGACTTGCAGGAGTTACCAGATGATCTTTGCTCTCTATATAGTAAGAGATGGGTTTTAATATTGTAACTGCCCAAAGGATGACTATCAGCTTAGAAGACCTTTACAATATTTCGACATTGCAAGCACATTTGATTTGGAACAAAGGAGTAATTTTTAACACATTAAACAATGCATATGCCTTTGTTATCAGATGAAAATGTCTTGACAAAGGATAAGCTCAACTACAATGGGAAAGTGAGTGTTGGAATAATGATTGCTTGCTGATGTATAGTTTGGAACAGTTTTATATTTCTGGTGTTCACTTAAGACGAATTGTAGTATTATGGATAATACGACTTTATTAGATGTATTTGTAAATTATTTGGAGGTTCGCGAGATTATCGAATTTCGTGACATATGCCTGGAATCCCTCTCAGTATCCTATTATATAGCGCAACTTTCTTGGGTATAGCGAAAGGAGGGAAATTTACTATTGAAACCACTGTCAGGTATGCCCTTCCATCATATTATATTCAGTTAACTCATTGAGTAAAAACATTGTATTTTCAATTTTGACACGAAAGCGCAGAAGGGCAACGAACAATCAGTCCCTTTATCAACATTTAAAAGCGAAGTGACAAAGTATTCTGATTGTGAACATACTGTATCGATGCTATCACATGCTACACCTCCTCATTATGAACAATGAATTGAAGGGAAAACTTTCAGTGGAGATATTTCGTTCATTCAACTTCTCGTCTGACAAACAAACCATACTTCCAACTTCTAAATTTTAAATTCGCACTCGAAATGTGTATGATAACTAGGAATGGGACAGCAAATTCAGCACTTCCTCATCAAGAGAAGAAAGAAAATACCACAGCACTTGACATTTCAATGTTGATTCCGAAAGCTACCGATGACAGAATATGTCGTCCTTCCTTTACTGAGCTGCTACTTCTTTCCCCAAATTTGCACTAAACAATCACGCCTTCGAATACTTCACACTCCGAAGACTAACTTGCAAACACTAAGGAACTGTACCCTTTCGGACAAGGCTACATTACAACCTCTCACGGTTACACATCCCATCTCTCCACATTTGATTCCACCGTCACTTTCACTTGGGTTTAGGTTCAAATTGCTGGAATGTTTTTGTTTCCGGTGTCATGATCGCTTGTGTTCTCACTATTTTAGATGGTTTTGGTAATTTGTGAGTTTCAGGGAACTGAGATAGATGAGTGGCACGTTGATAGACGTGACTGCATCAACTAGTGGAGCTGCGACACCACGGTCGAAGGTAAGTGGTTGAAGATTTAGCTTGGAGACTTCGTGATGTCAATCCAAAAAGATTAATCATGCTGCCATTACATGAGAAAAGAATTTCCTATATTGCAAACAGTCTTTTTTATGAGAAGCAGTAATGGGTTCTTATAGAGACAATAAGGAACCATTCGTGGTTTATCGCATCCATTTGTTTCCTTTTGAAACGAAATATCAGGTACAGCAAGCTTCGAACTATAGGTAATAAATTCCAGATCGATGCCCTCTCACGGGATGATTTGATTCGTTTCGTCAAGAAACAAATTGATAAATTGAAAGCTGCCAAGTGTGAAAATGAAAAACTCAAAGTGGAACTGGGAAAAGTGCTGAAGGATTTCAATGTATATTTATATTCCGTTCGAAATTTCATACTAAATTACACAGCGTAGCATTACGTTTCATTTACCACAATATTTTTCCTTCTTTTGTTGTTACTGTGCTCTACTTTAAAGATTATAATTTTGAGACGGTGCAATTGTCTTTTTCTGTAGCCATTTGTGCTGTTTATTTTGGTAAAATAATCTATTCGTGCTACAATTATTTTAACTTTTAAGTCTAAAGATAATGACTCATAAACAGTTATCCAAGCAATCTTCGCTTTATGTTTGAAATTGTATCAGGAATTTGAAGAAAAGCTGCGAGACGAGCAAGAAAAAAGCACGGAAAAAACGAGGGAAATTCGACAATTGAACGAAGTTAATTTTAGGATTTTTTCTCGATGATAGTAGCCGAATGCTTTTGAAATATTATTATCCAGATATAAAAACATTCGCCAGCGACATCAGCTGCATTTAAAAAAATAATTAGATGTTATGCCATATTTCAACATGCTGATATTTTTTTGTCTCGTCCTCTCTATATATTGTTATAGGCAAGGCGCTAAATAGTTAAGAAGTAGTCTTAATATCAAAGGGTAAAAAGACTCTAACGGCGCAAAGGACAACAGTTTTTCTTATTTTGCAACATTTTTTAGAAATGTAGTGATCTAGAAATGAAATGCTCAGATTTGGCGCTACAACTTGGGAAGCTGAAAACGCAGTTAGAAGAAGACCAGGTGAAATTTCATTGTTTTCCAATTAAACATTAATGAAGTTTCACTGTATAAAAGTTAATACAAAGTATTTAATCGAGTAAATAGTTTTCCATCCACAGTTTATCAAAAAAGGAAGGAATTGAGAAAAAAAATTAACATGCAAGATTGCTACATCCAGGAATTTTGTCAAAACATTAAAATTTTCAGGATCTTGATGGAAAGCTTAAATCACATAAAGTTAACAGTGATTCGAATGGCGATGATGTTATCTCCATTCATATAGTCCAAGTACAAAATGAGTTGACTTTAATGAAGAGTTTGCTCCGGAAACAAACAGAAGAATGTGATAAGGTATTTTATCATTTTTCAAGCAGTTTCTCTTCAAATATTTCCGACTTCCAGTTGTCAAACTTTTAAATACCATCATGAATCGATTTGCACCTAATTATTTCAGCAAACAAAGGAAAAAGAAAAATTGACATATACAGTGGTTGAATTGCGTTCGTTATTGGACGATGCTTATGCACAGCTCGAATCTTACAAAGAGGTTGTTTATCATACTTTTTTGTTTAATCAAAATAGGAAAGAAAATAAAATTTAAATTAACTGATTTTTATGGAAAAAAACATGTAGTAGTTAGCTTCTTAAACCGTTATTTTACATTTAATTCATTTATTAATTGGCGATGGACTCATGAATCATCATTAACTTTGTGACTTGCGCTGATTTCAGATCGCTAGTAAATTGCAATCTGGTTTTTAAGATTTTTCTGGAACATAAAAGCTTGGTTTAAACAATGTGAAATAATGAAGTAATATTTTTTACTGAATGCAGAAAAAAAGTATGGAAAATGTGATCACATTAGAAATGGCCGATTTTGAGAAAACGGTTGAACGACTGCAGAAAGAGCTTAAAACAGTAAATTTCGAAAAACATTCACTGCAGTCACAGTTAGAATCAATGATAAAGGAAATGAACAATATTCATGAAGAAAAAGCTCTCCTCACTGATAATATTGCAGAACTGAATGCTATCCTCAAAAATTTAAGGGAAGAAATGGAAGGCGAGTTTTTTTTTTTTTTTTTTCAAATTCCGAGAATATGTCAATGGTAGAATGTATAGTGATATAATAGGAAACAAAAGTGTTGATTCCTACCACTTATTTCACTTCAGAGAAGAAAACGGAACTTGCTTTACACAAAAAAGAGCGAAAAGATTTGGTCGAAGAACTACAGAAGCAGGTTTCTGCTCAAAATAGAGAACGCGATCAGTTGATATCAGTGATTGGAGTAAACGAGGAGAAGATTGGAGATTTGGAGGCACTGAATGCTTCATTGAATCGGCAATTGGCATCACTTTGTTCGCAACGTGAATCATTACAACGACAGTACGATGATCTCTCTGAAGAGCATTCAACTTTTAGGGTGAAATTATCAGATCGAATTGAACCTCCGATTAACCCTTCAAGATTCCAAACTGCTATTTTTTAAAATTGACATTTCAACTTTATGTGGATGGACGGAGAGATGATAATTATAGACGCGAGCTCTTTATGTGTTGGAGCAAAAGAAGAGTGAGGATGATGAACGTGCGAAGGGAGAAATTGAAATATTAGAGGAAACGATTCGGCAGCAAAATAGAACAATTGACAATTTGACGTAAGCTTTTAGTTGTTTAACTGCATTTGTTGGCTTTACTTGATTTCCTCTGGACGACTGTATCATCAAAATCACAAAATTTAGAGAAGAAAAGGATTTATTTCACAGATACATTCAAAATGAAACTTTTGCAGCCGTAAAACTTCCTGTTTCAGCAGTTCATATCGTATGTTACAAAATGAACTTGATTCCTCATCAGAACATATTAGAACACTTTCGACCGAAATATCAAATTTACAACGACAGCTCACCATTGTCACTGAATCTCACAAAAAAGAGCAAGTTATCCACTCGCTTTTATCCGTATTAGTTATTCATTATTGCAAACATTGTTTTTACTGTTGGAAATAATTCTTGTTTAGTAAAGTCGTCAAAAATTTTGGTCATGATAAAATTCATCATTGTCTTTCAGAATCACGCCCCACCTTTTTCTTGAAAACAAGTTCCAAAAGCCGTACGTCATATTTCTAGATTGTCAGAACAGCGGCGAGAATTCGAATTACATTTTGCTTCTGAAGCAAAACTGAATAATGAATTATTGACTCAAATTGATGCAAGTATTATTTCACATAATCAAGAAAAGGAAAATTTGCTGGTAATTGCTCGACAAGAACGTAAAGGCTTAGAGGAAGAAATGGAACGTTTAAGACGTATGTTGGATGAAGAAGTGATGCGACGAAAAGAAATGGAAAAGATTCAAGTGGCAACGGCTACGCAAAATGTAGCTATCCAATTGCAGAAATCTTCTAAATATATTCTGCCGTTCAGGTCTGAAAAATTATGGTACCCTAAGTGAGATTAGTATTGCAAGCTTTATGCATTATTTCTTGAATATCTTTTTGTCAAGTTAAATGAATGTGTAATCGATTCATTGAGTTTGAAAAACAAACCACGCAATCTGTGTTTCGTACTGTACTTTTTACAAATTCACACAAAAGTAATAACTTATCCAGGGACATCTGTTATAGCACCTATCTGATTCGACCCTCAATAGAGACCGCAGCAGTTGACAAAGATATCAAAAGTGATGATAATGATGAAAAATGCGAGGAAAAGTCACTCGAAGAAGTAATTTATGGGGAATCTGAAGAACTGATTATAACTGATATTCGGAACCAAGCGGATACTTCAGTAACATCACAGAGTATTACCCAAATAATTACCAAACAAGTTCGATTATGCTTTCGATAACGATCTTGATCAGTATCGTGATTATTTCATTTACTGTTCAATTGAGTTTGAAAAATGAAAGTTAAACTTCTTTCCATAAACTTTTTCGAAGATGAGGAGAAGTTTGATTTGATATGCTGAAGCTCATTTCATTTTTAGTATGATCCGCAAAGAATGAAAGACTATTATATCTCACAATGATGTAATAACACTCAGTAAAGAACATTTCCGAGGAAGTTTATGGAAAGTCCACTGATTAATGCATATTTTATGAAATTTGGTTTAGTTGGAACATACGCGAGAGCTTTTGAATGAAACAGAAGCAACAAATGCAAAATTAGTAGAGCAAGCGAAACTTTTGAAGGAAGAGATTCGCAGAATGGAACGTGATCGGGAGCGTCAAAGTCATCTGACCAATACTGAGTATTTAAAAAATGTTATCATGAAGGTAAATGAGTTTTTTTTTTTTTTTTGAAATTCTCCACACTATCTCAGAAATAGACATCTCCTAGACGTTTTTTTTAAAATACAAATAGCTGAAATTTGATAGGAATTTGGACTGTTGATTTTTGAACTGATTTTCGATAGATGTGCTTTTCTGCCAGAAATTTCTGTGATCTGTATTTATAAGAACTATTTTCCCTCAGATGCATTCATTATTACTCTTCACAAAAGCAATGTTACATCATATCAGTTATGATCTTAACCAGTTAGGTTTTTGGGACTGCTTCTTGGAATTTGATTTATGATATAGTTCTGTAAATCTAGTGATATATCGACCTCTGTAAATCCAAATATTTCTTTAATAACTGTGTTGCCACTGCAGCAATGATATATTTCCATGTTTATATAACCAGATGTTTTAAGAAGATTTTTTGTTTGATTTTTGTTAGTTCATTGCACCAGAAAAAGTTACCGATGAACGTGGTCGTCTGATACCTGTTCTGACAACAATGTTGAAATTAAGCAATGATGAAGTGAATTTACTCATTCAGGTGGCCGAAGGTATATTCTTTATCGTTTGTCAATCGCTAAAAATTAAATTTGAAGTTTTCGTAAGAAAATAGCTGAAGCTGAAATTGATCAGAATATGGATGGAATTGGGAAACATTAAATGTTCGAAAATTTAGCCAACATTTTTCATGTTTTGATGATACAAATAGAACCAGCGATACTTGAAATTACATTATCTTAGAACTTCTCCAGATAAGCCTTTTACAATAAACACAAACGAAAAAAAAAAAAAAAAAAATGGAAGGGATTTACTGCACGTGTTCTTCCTAATTTTTTCATACGGATTCTGACCAGATTTTTTCAATCACTTCAGCAGTAATATCTTGAGTGCACTTCATCCCCTATTTTCATATTCCTACCAGTTGTAAAACTTGCTAAATTTAATAATTAAGTTTTAATTTTAGCGGATGTTGCAACGACTAAAACGGCTGCATCGAGTTGGAGAAACTATATTTGGTCTGGTTTATCCTAAAAGTTTATTTTTTTTTTATTCCTTTATTTGTTATAGGCTTTTGAAAAAAAGAGCCTTGCTTACTTTCAGTTGAAGCATCCTTCTATTTGCTTCTCATTTTCACTTTTTTTTATTCTGTTATTTCTTGGGAAATTTTCCATCAAATAGTTTTGTAAATAGTTTAAGAGAAAAGCTTGTCCAGCAAACCCTTTTTTATCGAAAGTTCTAATCCGTTTTCATTAACTATGAAATTCTCTTCTCCTAAGTTTTTATCCATATTTGCAATTTACTCGTTTGCCGATTTACTCCGATTAATTAAATTATCTATTTCTGTTGAAACTTCTACGACTTCATCTGCTCTTAACAATTCAACATTGTATAATAGTTTCAGCCTCACTACGCCTCTTATTTTGCGTGTGTAAAAGAATTTTTATACCTTTTAGTTTTGCAAGATTTTTAATTGCAAAATTCAACACTGTGATATGTACCATAATGCAATTTATGAGTTTCCTCTAGGTGCTTTCAAAACATTATTTCCAGCTGTATTCCATTCTTAATGTAATTAATAATGCGATACTTCATTCGAAAATTTCAGATAACCATTTTATTTTCATATTTTGGAGTTGGAACAGAATCATTCTGTCAAGGCTGTCTGACTCCGTTTTTACGTCGTATTCTTCATTACCATTTAATGAGGTGCCTGGTGTTTTTATTAAGAGAATTTCATTGTTAAAGGAATTATTGTATATTTCATAAGCAATTCATAGTAGACGAAATGGTGATAGTAAATTACCTTTATTCTATTACTTCGAAATATAAGAATAACTTCAACAAAAAAAAAAAAAAAAAAGAAAAAAATGTAGAAATTTATTACGGGAAATGAGAATCAGCTGTTATCAAGCCTCCTTTTCTGAACTTTCCGTAACTTCCAACATATTACTGTCGTATCCTGATTTACGTAAAGAAATCCCTATCTATGTTACTGACATGAGTTCTTCATTATTGCAGACTACATCTTATTGCCTACGTGATAAATCTCACTAATCTGTAAAGTTTATGCTTCAAATGAAATTCGAAGTGAAAAAAAAAAAAAAAAGAACTTATGCTTTTTAAATCCTGCCATCTAACAACACCAGGGAAATGCTATTGTAAAAATATAGTGATATCTGGTTCGAACTAAATACCATCAGTCGATATTGGCATCCTTTACACTAGATTCACAAAAGAAAGATAATAGAAATGATTCGTTTACGTTCTAGCTGAACAGGATTTCAACTTTATTATGACTTTCCCAATGCACAAATGGTTTTATGCTTTTAAAATCAATAGTAGAAGCGTAAAAATATTTCCGGAAAAAAAAGAAAAAAAAAAATAAAATAAGCAACTGAGGTTTATTGGTTCAGTTTAAAATTTGTTTGAAACTGTTTTTCAAGCATCCCTCCAACATTCATTTTTATTTTTATTTTATATGCTCAGTGTTTAATGTGCCACTCTTGTATATGAGTGTATCGTCCATCATTTGGATTGAAATCCACTGAGCACTAGATTTCAATTTTTATCCTCCGCTTCATTTCGTATTTTTTTCCAGCGAAAATATATCGTTTGAATAGTTTCCATTTATTGATGACTTGAACTGAATTGTAATTAATTAATAAATGCAAAGAGAGCCCAAATCTAGAGACGGAAGAGCGAAAGTGTCCTGAACTTTTAAAATAATTCCTAAACCTATAGTCTACATGATAATGGTGGTAACGATATTAACATAATTAGCGACATGGCCCACCAAAAAGTGTAAATCTCAAATATGACGTTTTAAAAACATATACTAACGTTACTGAATTAAGTAAAAATCAGCTCCATTTATCTTCTTTTACCATTTAAATCTAAACTTTCGAGTTGCTTTTCTCATGACTTCCTATCTATTTTCCACATATGTGAAACAACAAAACAGATCGAAATGACCACTGTGTCTTGCAAAGGAACTGATCAATAAAATCTACGACAGCAGGAAACATTTTGTTTAGTTCGAAGCACCATCCTGCAAGTTTAGCGGCATTATCATATCCAGCTGCTGATTCTAAAATAGAGAATTTTAGTGTTTACGATAGTAAGGAATAAATTTCTTAACATTTTTTATTCAAAAGTGTAGATAAAAAAAAGCTAGAGATTTTAGACGACTTGAACTGCAGAGTTCTTGTCATGAATAATGTGTATATAAAATATATGGGAATCTGATGAACGCCACTTTGAAATACAAATTTAATTTCAAAAATCTTAAAAACAAACATCATGATTCCACATGATCGGCTGACACTCAATACATATTTCCCGACAGCAAAGTGATGCGGAAAAAAGAGATAGTACCAGTTGTAAGATAGTTGCTGCAATAATACCAGCATCCAAACGATACTCAGTCCCCAATCGTGTCATCAAACTATAAATTTACTCGTTAACTCCTTCAACTACAAGTCAAGACCTTACTTATCGTATTGCAAAACTGCATTTTAAATTTAACTCGCAAATTAATAAAATGCCAAGATCACATATTAATAGTTCTAGTAGATCAAAATGCAGAAAACAAGTTCACAATATTATTCCAGAACAAGAACAAATTGATAACCGGAACAACTGACAAGCGATACCTTCTCTTGTTGTCGTCAATATTTTCGCCACAAAGGATTTGACATCGACTATTTTCCGGCAAACTTGTCGCTAGCAGATGCCAATCACATTCACCGAAACATTCAGCCTAAAAAACAAAAACTTTGGTTCTTGTCATCCAACAGTTCAATATAGTTTAACAATGGATGTCATTTTAAGAAATTTACAAACCTGGTAAAAATGTATATCGAAGCTAGAAACAATTACAATTGCTGGTACGAAAATAAGGATTGCATGCAGATTCATTACCATGAATGCCAATATTAGACCACGACGATGACTGGCTGAACCACAAATCCCAATGATACTGAAGAGTATATCATTCAAGGATCGAAAATTAGATTTGCTTTTCGTAAATAAGAGTAACACGTCTTTTCTTCTTACCTTGGTGTTTATTTGCATGTGTCTACATAAGATCCTTTCTAGTTCATAAAGGAAGTAAAAAATTACCCCGTTAAGATGAAGTAGAACGAGCAACATTCCTCAAGGCCAATCATTCGAATTGTATGAATTCGTGAGCTCATATAATCTGCTAATGCAGCCAATATAAAAATTATTAAACCAAGTACAACGTGACATTGCGCTAGGCACTGAAAATTTAAAAAAAAAAAAAGTGAACAAAATGATAGTATTAGAAAACAAGGATATGCTTGCCTAATACTGAAAGTTTTTTTACAGACTGTTTTTCCGAAGAAAACATAACTTCTTCTGAACATGAACCACACATCATTCCACTTATACCTACGGCATTTGAACATACAAAAGATTGAAAAAACCTTGAGCAATCCATGCGATCGGAGCATTCTGTCAGAGCGCCATTCATTCGATCCAAGAGTAGTATGCAACAAGGACATGCTGAACCGCTAGCACGCTTAGTTAAGGAAGAATAATAGCAAGAGGAATGCTCACATTTCTTCTTCTACGTGGTTCATTTTTTTCAAATCTTTCAGTGGCAGTGTTGCAATTTACGTCTTCCCCTCACGATTCGTTCATTTCAACTGAAATCAATAAAGCATCATGAATTATATCTAAATGATGCAAAGAAAGACTTTTGGAATTTGAAAGATGAAACTTCGGAGATATCCAATATCCTGCAGTGAGAGCAACTGTAAGTAAACTATACACACTTGGTAGCCAAATCAAATTCGTCTGCCTTGTCCAGTAACACAACAATGCTTAGTTACACAAAGTTGCAGCCAAGCATTCAGCATTGGTTTAAGCATTCAAATACCGCAGCGTTCATATGCAAGTGCATTCTGCATGCAGAACTTTACCTACAAGTTAGATTTCAACGACAAGTCAGTTGCTGCAGTCAATAACATGGATGAACCAACATTTCTGTCATACAGTTATATCTGCACTGTCCTCGAGCGATTTCATATATGACATGAGCCTCGACCCAACACTGGCAGAGACTCGTGCCAATACCACTGCATTATGAGGGACTTCCGTCACCCTCAATATGTCAATTGGATGTGACGCCCCTGCACGTGACGTTAGTAGTAGAGAAGCTGAGAAGTGAGGAAACTTAACATTAAATGGAAATCAATGTCACTCAGATAGATATACGTATGTGAGTATGTTAGTGTTTACGAGAATTTGTATATTGGTGCATATGGGTTGTGTATGTAGTGTGTGCGAATGTATGTGTCTGTGTGTGTATGTGTCTATGTATAAATGCATATATGTGCAACAGATAACAACAGAAGATGAATGGGATGAAATAGGAGGGAGAAAGGGGAGTGTGCATTGGGCATAGTAACTCTGTTGACAGTTAATCGTGTCGCATGAATTGCTGGACGTGGGACAGGGAAGTGGAGAGGACACTGGGGGCGGTAGGAGTAGCAGTCAGTTGTGTCGTTTCAGTGTTGAAGTAAAGAGAAATCATCGTTTTATTGTTGAGCAATGTCAAGCAAGATACATAAATTTGCATGGAATACAGAACTTATGTCCAACTTTCTGCTTTGTCTGTTGTCTGGGGATTTTGTTGATGAATTCTGATGATATCGCTATATAAGCATTGAGCAAAAGTTAGGTTTAAGGGTCATTAAGTTACTGTCATTATTTAAAGCTGGATATGACTGAGGATATTTCATTTTCCCATCTTCTCTCTCTCAAAAAAATCTTTCTTTAATACCTGTGGGGGAATGGAACTGTTTGAATAGTCACAAATTTTTTATCACCAAATAAAAATTAATAAAATTTAATTGGCCTTTCCAGTTATCCAAAAAGGTCATATTCCCGAAAGTAAGTTGTCGTATTTTTGTTTGAATTTCAAGAATTATTTGATTTAATCCGTCGATCAGCTTTGCCAGTAATTACAATGTTATAAATAACAATGAAAATTGCAATTATATGAC